TCCTTTTTTGTGTATTTAAAGGCACTTTTGTAGATGCCTGCCCAATCTAACTAGTGGTAAAATTAATGAATAATAATTTAGCCGTAAATAAAATGACCCACATGATGATCTTTCACCTGACGAACTCATCCGGGACGATTCCTCATGCTGCACGCGCATTCCCAGAGGATATCTTCAACTCCTGCGGCTGCTGGTAAGTGGTGTTTTATTCTCAGCGAAGTGATTTTGATGTTTGTTTACTTATTATTATTATTTTACTAGAACGACGTGAAGAGAGCATGCAGAGAGATGTTGTTTGTATTGCTGTGTGTAGGCTGTAGAAGTAACGTTAGCTTGCTGTTTGAGGGAGAAAACTTTCACGGGCGTGGAGGGGTGTTATTTGACTAAAAACTATTATTTGTACTTTAAACTATAATTATTATTACAGTATTTATTTAAAAAACGTAGAGCGCCATAAAAATTATTATCACAACTCTGGTAAGTGAATAGGCTTATCACATAGGCTTACCAGTATCTTATGTTTTGTGTGTAGAAGCCTCTGTGAACATCTCCCCTAGTAACGTTTCTATTATATACTATTATTGTATTATTATACTATAGCAGCCTGGGCAGAATCTGTAGCTTTAGCAGGTCAGTGAACTAGTGAGCCAGTTCCAAACACTGTCAGCAATCTTTACATATTGTCATGGTCACATAAAAATGGTTTAATCAGCTAATATTGATCAGCCTACAGTAGGTAGACAACCAGAATGTGGTTTTTACCGCCACAGTTTTGCCGTGGCGGTAAAAGTTGAGGTGTATTTGCTGCCTTTGGCCGTTAAGAGGCGCTACAATCACAGACTTTGAAAAGTGTCCGTTTTTTGTGTAATCTTCAACTGCACAATAGGAGGTTTGCAGTCACGTGATTATGATGACGCGCGAAAATCAGATGGAGGGCAGGAAGTGAAGAGCGCAATGGACGAGATGGAGGAAAGTCAGTACTGTACAACTTTAGATGCAATTTCAAGAGAAAGATATAAACAGAAAATTGAAACATATGTTGGATGTGATCCTTACGTCATGAAGAGGAGCGATTTTTCAACCGAAGCGAAATATTTGCCTGCCATCGAGGCGGTAGATATCACCAACTACCTTGTCTTACAAACATCCTTCTACACTAGAATACAAATGAAAGCATACAAAAGTATGGAGGCATACAACTTCTTTGTAAGTGGTTGGGTTCACGACCTCGGTACCAAAATGCTCCACAACGACTGTCGTTTGGTTTTCGCCCGGGTGAGTGACATTTCTTTATTATTGTCCTGTGGAATAAACGTAACGTTAACTTAATCCTAACAATTTTTTAACGCGGCGCTTCTCAGCGTCACTTTTATGGTTGTTTACATTACGTTATTAGGTTAACCACTCTCAAAGGTCCGCCGAAACACCACTAAAGACGTGGATCATCGCGAAAGAAAGCGGAGAAATAATTACAGCGCATTGCAATTGCATGGCAGGGTAAGATATATTATTTTTTATAACTTTTAGCTGTTAGTGTTGCTTGTTCTATTTATTGTTTAAACAGATCGCCAGTGCACAAATGTCTATTCTGTCTATTGTACTGCTATCTATTACACTGCTCATCTGTGGCTGAATTATAAAAAAGCTAGCCTTCAGTAGCATTCAATGATGCTTTGAGGATGTTACTAAAAAAGCCCAGATCAACTTGTGCGAGTGAGTTGTTTGTGAGCACCAGAGTGGACACACTGCAGTCTGTCCTGCAAAAAGCGATGTAAAGGTTCATCTGTTGACAGAATGATTCAGTAAATCAAGTTGTTGTGGTGCTGGTGAATGTTAGGTACAGTGCCACATGCTGCATGTCCCAGTTTTGGGAACACTGGTGTCTTTTAAAAACCTAACATTTGTAACTTGTAATATGTTTGGTATTTATTTATTTTTATTCTTTATTTGTATGGATGAACCACGAGTCTGAAAAAAATACTACTAATAATACTATTCTATTCTTTTATCAGATTGTCAGAGTCCTGTTCACATATCCATTGAGGCAGGTGTTAAGATGTGAGAAACACCCTCCAGCACAATGGAAAAGTGCAAATGGCTGATGCCATCACACGTAAAAAAGGTATTCAAATGTACTGTACATAACATTTCTTTTGTTTTGTACCCTACTTTACTAAGGGAAATGACAGTGACTGTCAATTTCTAAAACACGCTTGTGCAGGTAACACAGGGAAAGTCTGATCTAACACTGCAACCATTTTTAAGTCTGTGTTAAAAATGGTCAGTTATTTTTTGTCATTTCCAGTAATGGGGCAGTACTTCTGTTCTTCATGCTTTTCAATTTTCCAGATTCCTGCTGCTCCTGTAGCTCATATAGACTTCTCTTCAGCAAAATCCAAAAAGCAAAAACTGGATGATGCCATCGCTGGGAATTCAACTGAACAGCCTAAGGTTGTGAACCCAGTTCAATGTCCAAGAGTGAAGAAAGGGTCAGAAACATATGCTAGGTTTTTTGAGTCCTTAAGCAGAAATTGTCCAAGGAGTGCTGCACTGGTGGTTAGGGAGAATTACCACAAAGAATGTGTCCCTAAATCTTGTTTGCTGCCTAAAACTGTTCTTGAACACAGAACACCAGAGACTCTGCAGCTACCACCCAAAGGGCTTGAAGAGCTATGCCAGGATTTCCAGCTAGAAGAGCTAACCCCCTCTCAGGTCCAGGCTGTAGAGAAGGCAACTCAAAGCCAGGGTGCATCTAGGATCTGGTTTCGACAAAGAGCTGGACGCATAACTGCCTCTAAACTGAAACTAGTGCTTAAAACTAACCCTCTGAATCCATCCAAATATGTCTTATGGAGGTGGAGATTTTGGTTAAGGGTAAACATAAGGTAAAGGCTTGTTTGTCAAGGGTTAGGCAGGGGTAGGGTTAAGTATAGGGGTTAGGATAATGGTACATATATAAACCACTGATTGTAATAATGTTGCCTAAAATACTGACCCACTCAGAAGTTTCCATATTCAACAATCAAAACTAAATATTAAATTACCACTTCATTTTTGGCTTATTATTTTTTTGTACTGTTTACAGGTACGGATGTAAACATGAGGCACAAGCCAGAGAAGAGTATGAGAGGCTGATGTGTCTGGAGCACGAGGGCTTCTCTTGTATGCAAAGTGGTCTCTGGCTGAATTCCAAGTGGCCATACATGGGAGCCTCGCCTGATGGGACTGTCACATGCGACTGTCATGGAACTGCCCAGATAGCAAACTGACATTGAATCAACGTGGAAACGACGTCTCTCATGACATTGAAACAACGTTGATTTGCTCATCGAATTAACGTTGAACCAACGTCAGACGCGGCATTCTTCAAAGCTAAATGAAATCGAAAATTGGTTTGCTTTCATAATGTTGAAACAACACGTTGATTTCAAGTTGATTTTCCGTTAGTTTTGAAAGAATGACGCATCTGACGTTGGTTCAACGTTAATTCGATGAGCAAAACAATGTCAGATCAACGTTGTTTCGATGTCATATTTCCACGTTGATTCAATGTCAGTTTGCTATCTGGGTGGGATTTGTGAGATAAAGGTAATATGGTGTAATATTTAATATTCTTTAAAAATGTGCTAAAAAGATGTTTCACATGTCAAAATTAATAATATTAAATGTTTTAATTAGAGAAATAAGCAAACATATAAAAAAATGTACATGTTGTTTTCACTGTGAATTTTAGTGCCCATACTGCAAGAAAGGTAAAGGAAATCTACGCCTGTGTGCTGGAGACAAAGGATTCTGCCTCATTAAAAATGGGGATGATGTTACACTGGACAGGAGCCATGCTTACTACTTCCAAGTTCAGGCACAGCTTCACATTGTGGATGCTGAATATTGTGACTTTGTGGTGTGGAACTCTAATGACATTTTTATTGAAAGAATTTTACCTGATATGGACTTTTGGGATGATGTGATTCCCAAAGCTGAGAATTTTTTTTAGAAAATGTATCCTCCCAGAAGTGTTGGGACAGCAAGTTACAAAATAATATTTTGGCATTATATTTGACTAAAGGATTATAGTAGCTCATACAGCTCAGGTCGTTCAGTCAGTCTTTTTGGCAATGGAAAACACTTATTAGCATGAATGTATATTTTTTGACAATCAGATGTTTATTGACAATTACTATTAACAATGAAAAAAATTAAATAATATAATGAAAGATATTACTGGTGTATTATTAACAAGACCTAAAACAGTGTACACTTTGTAAAATGGATTACATTTAAAGTACTTTGAAGTTCATATTCAAACAAAGCTACTGCAGCTAATCTTATAGATGAAAATCTTTGCAGGACTCCACAGTACTTTTAAATTTGATTGAATTCCTAGGTTACATGACACACAATGTATTGTTATGCTGCAATTCTGTTAGTATACCAACATTTAATATATAATTTATCATTTACGTCCAAAGTTTTTATTTAAACAGTTGTCAATTTATTTATATCATAGGAAATAATTTCAAACGCTCAGCTGAGCATGTTTTGTTAGATAGAAAAGTCATATCATTGCTAATGATCAGAAGTTTACTTCAATAGTTTGTCGATTATTGCATTAGTGTGCACTACTACTACTGGCTACTACACAGCTTACGTTTACCAACCATGAATCGTTTTAAGGCCATGTTCTGGTCAACACATTCTCACCCCAAGGCGTCACCTTTGACCATGCTTCAATATTTGACGTTTTAGGCGCCCTTTACACTTACATGACGCGATCCTACGGCGTCATCTTACTGACGCTAAAGGAAAGCGTCAGTTAAACGACGCGGTTAGGTTTAGGTATGGGGTGGGGGTAGGGTACACGCGATCCTAGGGCGTCATCTAACTGACGCTAAAGGGCGCCTAAAGCGTCAAATATTGAAGCATGTCCAAATGCTTCCCAAGGCGTCAGTTAGGTGACGCCTTGGGAGTGAGAATGAGCTGTTCTGGTAGTTTTTCTCATTTTTTACTCCAGTGGGACCACAGACTCAGACAAATTTGACAAGGCACAGCAAATAACTCCAATCTTATCAATCAATGTCAGTGACTCGCCTAGTTTTGTTGCCATGTGTTCGATGGGCATGGCCCTACTTTGCAAAATCTGATATTTCCTTCTAACCAATCCAATAACCCTTTCCACATGGATACGTACATTAGCTATTTTTCTAGTTTCTTCCACCTCGAATGCTGACAGTTGTCTTTTCCCCTTTGTGAATGCAGGTATCTGTAGTGAAGCACAGTAGAATCCTACACTATCCCCAATGTTAAACCCACGGTCTGCTAGAACAATATCTCCAGGTTAAAGGTTTTTTAGGAGGTCACTCTCTTCAGTAATCTGCTTATCACTAACTCTTCCTCCCCAGGCTGGAGATATGTAAGAGACATAACCTTGGGGAGCAACACCGATCAGAAACTTCACAGTGTGACGATGTTTTATAGTTTGACCAGGTTTGTGCTCTAGCAAGCAAATTAGAAGGTCGTTCGATAAATACTTCAAAGCAGTCTATGATCACAGCAACTCTACATCCAAATGCTTGCCTGAAGGCCATTGGCATTGTGGATTGAAGTACATGTCGCTCTGGCCACTCAATTAAAAACTCCAATCTCTCATGAAGAATGCCAATTAACTTGTGCCAAATTCTAGAAACTGTGGAGCAAGAGACATTGAACCTGAAAGCCAAATCTTTCAGAGGAAGGTTTAGTCTCAACCTTAGCAAAACTAAAATGACCTGTTCAAATTTAGAAAGCACAGACGAATGGCCACAGGTGATATAAGGCTCACACAGTTGAAAAACCTGCATTAAAACTAAGAAGTTGGGGAGTCCAGTGTAAAACTTTGTCTTGTCTTTATTCTTCTGAAAAGACTCCTGGCTAAGCTGTGTGTCCAGTGCTTTATGCCGAAGATCACCCAGCTCTGTAGTGGTTTGCTTCAGAACATCTTCCATCCTCTCTATGTCATCCATGGTTAGGTCTGTCTGGCATCCTGCATCTGCATACAGAAGTAGGGAGAGGGATTAGTTATTCAAATTACTCTCCAAATTAATAATAGTGTGAATTGTTTATTTGTCCACATTCGTATAAAGCGCCAAAGTTATTTGCATTCATATTTTTAAAGTTGTTTAACCAGGCTATTGTGCAACCTAATTTAAAGTATACAATTCAATTCAATCTAGCTTTATTGGCATGAACGTAAAACAACAATATTGCCAAAGCTACAAATAAATTACAAAAGAACAATTCATTTTATACAGTTCATTAATCACTATAAAAAATTATAAAAACAATTATCTACATATTAAAAAAAGTAAATAAAACTTAAAAAAAAGTGACAAATGAAAAAAAAATGTTAAAAATGAAAATAAATCAACATGCATTGTTTTAGTTTACATGCATTATTTGTTGTCAGAATCACATGCCTGCCTTTATAAAACTAGAATACTGGCAACAATTCACCTTGTTGATCAAGTAAGATCTCTGAGGTGTCCTCTGGGTTCTCAGCTGACTCATGGAGATCCAGCAAGGCCTCTGCACATTCTGCGTGTCTATGTTGATCGACCCTAGACTTTATCCTCTCCTCTCGTTTTCGCGATGCTTCTGTCGCGGGCTTCCCTTTCTGATAACCAAGCTTAACTGTAGGGGCCCAGTCTACAGACTCAAAGTCGTTTAAAGAACTAGGGAAGCCTAAAGAGAACACCATAAATTAAATGATTGTGGCAATAAGGCTGCACCCTCAAAATACTTTGTAGGTAACTTACTATCTTTGCTAACGTTACGTGTTTGTCTTCAGTTAACTTTACAGGAGTAACTTACAAACTTAAAGAATTGAAGAAACAATTACTTTGACTTTACAAAGGTCGCAAACTGGTACATTACACAAACATAGCCACCATAAGTTGTATTAACTCACCTTTTATGAAGTGATCACTGCACACGCGGGCATTTTTCGATTCAGCTCCTCCCGATCTTAGACGTAGGTTTGCAAGCCATTTTTTGCGGCGTTTTTCGGTCAATTTCTTGCATTTTTCCCCCTTGTGCACAACTACTTTTGGTACACGATAAAACTTCTTTGTGATTTCTCGGTTCGATCGATTTGAGCAACCATACACGACGCAAAACATCGGCATGTTGAGTTTGTTATATTGCTTTCTACGTGTACCAAATCACTTCCTGACCTCCATCTGCGTTTCGCGCCATGGCAACGCAGTGGTGTGACGTCACGTGAAAACAAGCTATTCAAGTGAAACGTAGTTAAATTAATTAATTAATCACAATACTGAAATTAAATTGAAAAAATAATGAAACCTTAAAACATTGCAGTCGAAACATATTAGGGTACATCAATGAGGCTTTACAGTCGTATAAGACATACAATGCACCAGTCTGACTCTAGGTCGGTCTGATCAGGGGGGAAATTTGCATATCATAATTAATAATTGATAATTAATAATTATTCATACAGATTTGGATCAGACCGGTCTTGTATATTAATTTATTAATTTTACCCATATGCATACATGTGCATCCCCGCAATCAACCACAAATTAATTGTTATTGATTGCAAGGACCACGTTTTACAAGACAGGCAAAATCAATTAGCTCAATTAAGTTATATAGCTTGTGAAGACAAATTCTGTGGCCACTAGAATCTGCCTTCCCTGCTCTATAACCAAATACCCTCTTAGGTATTTGTAGTTCTGTAAAGCGTGTAGCTTCTTAAATTGACATTTCATTGACCCGTATTATGAGCAAGACAATCAGTCAAGGTAAGCATATTTTGTATTTAATAAAGTTACTACTTAAGCATTTACTACGTTACAAACAATGATACATGTATTTACAAACAATAAAACACAAACTAAGACGCGTAAGTTAAGTGAGTTGAAGAGTGAGATAGAGTGAGTTGTAGAGAAAGTGAGAGAGAGTGTGTTACATTCACCACAACAGTCAGTTAACCTTTCTGAACACCACGAAAACACTTTCTTAATGCTTCTTAGAAGCTCTAAAAGAAGGTATACTTGCAGGGCACATTTGGTCTGTGTGAGTCGCGGGCTCCTTGCTCGGCCCGTTCGGGCCACGTGTCGACTGGGGGTGCTGTCCTGCATGCGCGCGTCACGTGGAGCGCAGCCGCAGCGTTTTTGCACCGGTGCGTGCATGGTCGGTTGCGTGGCTCTTTTGTTCCGTGGGGAATCACGTGGCGTTCGTTGGCATTAAGCGTGAGTGTTTGAAAGGCTTAAAGTCTTTGAGGTGACGTTACCCGAGGAAATAGTTCGGCAAAGTCCACTTCCTTTCCTGGAAGACGAACTGGGTAGTCCATTTGAGGAAAAGACGAAACTTTAGACGAACAAAAGGAAAGATCCATGGTTGGATCAGAGTCCCGTGAGGTTTACATGCTGAAGGAGCGCTGGAAAGTTCAGAAGAGAGCGAGGGCGGAGCCGCGCTCCCACATTTATCACCTTGGAGAAGTCCATCCCCTTCCTGTTGGCTGGAGCCAATCGGAGAGTGGATGTTGCACGCGGGAAGTCTTCTTTTATGGTCCTTTGTTCCTCAGCGTGCGCTTCTCATGGAAGGGGGTGTGTTCAATGAGGGTTTTATAGTAAAACAATTTTGAACTTCATTGGCAGTAAAACAATCAAAAATACCCTTTACTTTACATCTCCATGCATATTCAAGTGTTTCATTCAATAAGCATTCTAGAGATATCACATTATGTTATATCAAAGGAATATACACTTCTGTTTAAAATGCATGACGAAGGTAATTTTAATTTCTATTTACGCTGTGACCAAACAAAGTTATTCCACTGTGACATGGGGAAGACACATATACATAAAAACCATTGAAAACATTCCATTGAAAAGTCCTTCTCTCTGTTCAGAGACATTCCACACATTCCGATGTGTGGGGGAAGGGAAGGGCTTGTGTGTGCGTGTGTGTGTTTCAGAAAACCCCTGGGGGTGGATTTGATTCGCCTGGCCAAAATCCTTACACTACCGATAGCTGTGTGGTTAACGCATCATCCTCAACCTCATCGACCTCCAAACGACGCGAGATCGAACCTCGTTACATGCTGTTGGCCGACAGCTTTTATGTTTTAGCCAACCGTTCTTGAAGCTTAAATAGATAGCTGTTTATTAGCGAGTTTATTAACTGTTTATTTAGGCCTACTTAAAGTGTCCGACTTCATTTGCCACTTCTCACTGAGAGCTGAGGTCGCAGATAAATTAAAGGTTAACACTCTAAGCCTGTACTTGGGGACGGGTGGGACGTGTCCCCACCACTTTTTGCCAGGGTCGATATTGTGCCCACCACTTTTGAAATCTTAGCTAACCGCATTCGTTTCAGTCATCTAGCGCTGAAATGTGTTGTCTTCAATCGGACGTACGCTGCAATCCGTTGTGGAGGTTTCATTCGTTCCGGTGAAATCACAAATCAATCCGAGGCGACGGTTTTGCAATCCATCCGCTCAGTTTATAAACTGTAGGCTACTCACGGATTCTTAAACTGTTCCCTCGGTTTAACAATTCGTGCCCACGGATTAATAAACCATACCCACGAGTTCCTAATCCGTGCTCTCAGATTTGTAAACCTTGCCCTCAGTTTTTGAAATCTGTACCCACAAATTCATAAACCGTGCCCGCGCTTTCGCAATCCGTACTCACGGATTTGTAATCCGGACTCGCGGATTTGTGGCTCGTCCCCGAGAATGTGCCGCATGATTCAACCAGGCCTCCTGTTTAGATGCGGGATGCATTATTTTTAAAAGGACTTCACTTACAAAAAAATTAATAAATAAATATAGCCTAACACAAACACAAAGTTATAGGCCTATAAAAATAAAACATTCATAAATTGTTTTATGATTATCATATTATGTTTTTTTCCCCCGTATGACCAGAAATGCTAGATTATTTTAAATTGTTCCACTGTTGATAGGAACATGCAAGTGTTTGCGGCTGTGGCAGTGACATACAGTGCGCGCTTCACACAAACAGTTGGATATGCGTTAAAAACCTGTTTGTTTGTTAGAATCTTAACCCATTATTATTGTCTAAGAGACTAACATTTGATGAATTGCTTTGTTCTTTTTTTGTGGATAAAAGCGTCTTCTAAATAGGCCTATGTAGCCTAAATGCATTTTGATTTGATAGCTAATTATTATTTGCGTTTATTACTATGAATGAGTTCACCGAAGACAGTAATATATTTAACATAAAATAATTTATAACTTATAACCAAAGCTTTTGCAGTTTTTGAACTGTTATTATTATTTTATTTTTATTTTTTCGCTTATTATAGTACTGAGCTTTTTCCTCTAAAAATTTACTTTAAAGATAAAAGTATCCTAAATGTATTTATTTTTTTAAATACAAGAAATGATCCATTTTAAAAAAGGATTTTAAAAACAATGCAATGCATCCCGCATCTAAACAGGAGGCCTGGTTGAATCATGCGGCACACTCTGGGGGACGAGCCACAAATCCACGAGTCCGGATTGCGAAAGCATGGGCACGGTTTATGAATTTGTGGGTACATTTACTAAAGTACATTCCAAAATTAGATTTTGTATCAATTTTAAACACTAACTTTCAATTTGAATGATGATAATCAATGGGTCAATAATAATTATTCAATGTCAAAGAAAGTCACTAAGAAAAGGAATGACAACATCATAGAAATATTATGTTTTATTTTGCATATGTTAAAAATAAAAATGTTTGTTTTTTTAGGCAAATTATTCCTGCACAAGCAAATACGTTAACATTTTTATGTGTGCTAAAAGATGATTCCTTTACGTGCATCTACTTCTGGGCCAATGTCTGACCTGTTGATGGAGCATAAAGATTTTGATGTGTCAGACATTTTAATTGACAAATTATTACATCATGTGGGGAAAGAAAATACATGCATGTTTAATAATAATCATAATAAAAAATTGAATTCTACCTTGCCAAACAATACAATGCTTTTTTAAATTATATTAATTTCAAGTTCTCATTTAGAAGATAAAAGATACCATTGATGGTTTGACACAAACATTTACTTCTTACCCTGGCCTCTACTGACTTGGGTCGCCAATAGCTCCTGTGTGGTGGGAGGTGGCACACTAGACAGCACACCGTACTGACGTGGGTCATTTGGTCTCATTTTTGTAAGTCGAGGGAGTCCACGTCCTGACGATATCCTTTTCCTTACTATCGACCTCTGAAGTTCTGGGATGTAACGGTATTCCTTTTACTCTTTTATGGCATACAAACTCCACTTTCTGGACTTCTTATTGTAGAGTTTGCGATATCTGAAAATAGACATTTGACAGACAATGGCAAAAAAACTGACAATATTTCAATTATATTATCTAACACTATTGATAAGACGTTATGCATATTACATACTCAATGGAGCCATCAGGCCTTCTCTTGGGTGGTCTGCAAACATGGTTGTTGTAATCCAGGGCAGCCAGTAAGATTCGGGCTTGATAAACAGGAGGGCTGAAACTGAAGCGTTTGCTGGCATACATCAAGATGTGGTTATGGAAAGACTCCAGGTCAGCTGTTGACCTACAAATTCAGTCAGAACTGTAAAATTATAATTCTTTGCAACTCAGTAATATAGCTAATACAAATAAATTGTTTTTCACAGACGATAAGACTGAATAAGAAGTAAAATTAAATATAGCTGCGAGCAGCGATGGCGGGCCCAAGCCGGTGGCACCGCAACCCCGGTTCCTTTAGTTACCTAAATGCACCCGGGTGGCGGTGCCGAAGGCTTTGGCCCTTTTATGATTAAATGTTAAAACGGCTTGCCATACTCTGTCATTTCGACTAGTCACAATTATGTTACAGATATCTTAAATGATAATACAAACTATCCAAAATGTAATTACGAATAGACAGAAAGACGTTGTTGATATCTACAATGTTAATTCCGGACAGGCAAACTTAGCTTTTAAATGTTAAAAGGGCTTGCCATACAGGGATGTAGGCTCAGAGAGAGGCTCACCATATTCAAACCAAAATATCTGACTTCCTCTTGGTCCGAGCTAATGACTATGTATTAGAAAGTTGTCCGGCTTGAGGAGTACAATGTATATAGCGATTTTTGTAACTGTAGATAAAACTAACAACCCCACTTTTGTCAAAAGGTGGCGCTATTTAGTCCTTGCACTA